ACTGGCAATGAAAATCACCTAGGTGCCGAAGGGCAGAGTCCTCCTCACCCAGGCAAGGAAGATGCACAATGAACCCAGCAGGAGTCCCCCTGCTTTGTTGTCCCCTAGAGATGAAGACACACTGATCGCTGAGGCCTCCATGGGGCTGAAACTTAGACAATTCTTCACTTTGCATCCCTTTCTGTCCCTAAATCCCTTGTGTTAGAATCTCCTTATTCCACCAAAACTCAGTTCTCAGAGTCCTCCAAAAGGTTTCCCCATGACCAATGGCTTCTGAACTTTACCATCTGGTGGATGCCTCTGCCACCCCCACTCCCCTTGTCTTGTATCACTTCCTGAGGGAAGGTTCTGCAACATGCTGAAGGCAGCATGTCACTGGCTCTGAGACTGGTACATGAGAGTCATCTTTCCTCTCACACTCATAACTGTATTTCCTCCTTGAGACCTCCTAGAAGTATCTGGGGCCGTTTACTCAACAACAGGCCAGCTGCTAGGTGACAGCGCTAGTGCCTGTGACTGCCCCATAGCCAGGAATGAGGGGAGACTGGGAAAGTGGGGAAAGGACCCCTACACACACTCTCAGAATTTGGATGGAAGGCACCTGGGCTGTGACTTGGTGGCCTCTGCCCCAGCCCTACCAGTGTTCTCTTGTTTGCCCTGGACAGGAACAATTGGTTCTGCAGAGTGAATCACCCTTGCTCAATCCAGAGTATATTCCTAAAAGAGGGCTCTGCGTGGATACAGGAATGGCACCTCAGGATGCAGGAGACAGGTGTAGGGTCTGCAGGGGAAGGACACCCCATCTTCTTGCAGTCTCAAGGACACACTGGGGTTCACTCTTCTCAGAGAGCCATGAATTCTGTATAACTGAAATGTGAGTATGCACATGTATGCACATGCAGGTGTACATGTGTGTCTGTGTATAGGTGTGTGTGCATGTATGTGAACTTGTAAACGAGGAAATTAGCATGGGATGATTAAGCAAGGAAAAGAGTAGGGAACACAGAGCGGAAGGCAAGTCCACAGAGGGAAACTTTGCTTATGTGAAAGACTGTTAAGCAAACTCTGGCACCTAATTCTCCTACTATCCCAATACGTTAAGCATTATCTTTAATAAAAATGTGGGAAACCGAGGCAGTGGAGCAGAGAAACCTTGGTACAAATTTTGTTTCCAACCTCACTCTCGCCCTTTGCTTCCCAAACCTCATTATCGAATCATATAAGTAAACTGGAAGGAGTCGCTGTTAAAAGGACTTGTCTCTCAAGCATAAGGACTGGAATTCAGAGCCCCAGAATCCACATAAACCCTGGATGGTGTAATAGCCTACCTGAAATTCCAACCTTGGGAGGCAGAGAGGTATCTCGAGAGCAAGCTGGCTAGCAGACCAGCCCAATCCCTGAGCTCTGGGTTTGATTAAGAGACCTTACCTCAGTGAACAAATGAGCTAGAAGGACAGTGGATGATGATTTAACCTCTGCCCTCCACATTCATGCACAAATGTGCACAGACTCCCACACCCACGCAGACACACATACACACAAAAGCATACCACACACACACACACACACACACACACACACACACAAGAATGAAAAATAAACCTGAATGTTCTCAAACCTCATTGTACTTGCTCAAGAAAATCTTGGGTGATAAGGAGTGATTTTCATGTATTGGAGCACACTCTAAGCCAGGCCCGAGACATGCTTCTGTTGTCCCCACACTATAGAGGCTGGGGCATGAGAACTGAAAATTCCTGACTGTGTAACAAGATCCAGACCCAGAAGAGAAAGACAGAGAGGGAAAGGGAAGAAGGGAGAGTTGGAAGAAGGGAGGGAGGGACAGAGGGACGGAAAGACAGAAGGAAGGAAGAAAGGGAGGAAGGAGGGAGGGAGGGAGGGAGAGAAGGAGTAAAAACAGAAAGAATATGCTTGGCATTGTGTACTTTTGAGTTTGCAAGCTAGCAAATTTTCTTTTTTTCTGTTAAAGAACTTTTCAAATTAGAGTTATTCATTTTATTGTACGTGTGTTTTGCCTGCACTGATGCATGTGTACCATGTGCATGCTTAATGCTCACAGAGGTCAGAAGAGGGTATTAGATCCCCTGAAACTGGAGTATGGATGGTTTTGAGCCACCATGTGGGTGCTGGATACCGAACTCTGGTCCTCTGCAGAAGTAATAAGCATTCTTAACCTCTGAGCCATCTCTACATCCCTACAAATTATCTTTTGATTAAAAATACTTTCCAGCCCTTCAGGGGACCAGCCCACTTGCTTGATTCTGCCAGCCCCAACAGTGTGTAGGCAGCAGGCAGAGGACCAGGATAGGTCAATTCCCAGACAGCCACAGCCAACCACAGCCTTCGCTGCTCTGCACATGTTTCAGGAAGGAGACAGCCAGCAGTCAGTCCCCAGCCCCGATTCTTTCCTTGCCTCTTGTGGCCAAAAACACCAGGCAAGCTCCAGGGCAGGTTCAGGTCAAGCCGAAGGAAGCGAGCCCCTATGCTGAAGACCTCAGGAAGGATCTATGCAATGGGTGGAGGGATTGACTGACAGGCAGATCCTCAGCAGTGACAGCATAAAGCCGTGACGGAACCAGAACAATATTGTCTGTCAACGTAGTGAAGGGATGGTTTTCTATGCGAGTTCATGTCATATACATACATATATATGTATATATATATATATATATATCTTTTCTTTTTTGATTTTTCAAGACAAGGCTTCTCTGTGTAGTTTTGGAGCCTGTCTGGAACTCACTCTGTAGACCAGGCTGACCTCAAACTGACCTCAAACTCACAGAGATACACCTGCCTCTGCCTCCCGAGTGCTGGGATTAAAGGTGTGCGCCACCACCGCCCAGCAAGTTCACACCCCTTTCAAAGTACCTTTTTATAATAGAATAGTCCGTATCTTATGGTTCAGATCGTAAATGCCCACCTGCCTCCAAAACCTTTTATGACTGGCTCAGTGATTAAGAGCGCTTGCTCCTCTAGCAGAGATTCTGGGTTCAGTTCCCCACACACATGGTATGCATCATCACCTGTAATTCCAGTTCCAGGGATCAGATGCCGGCCAGACACGCATGTGCACAGTGAAAACCCTTATACAAACAGTATTAACAAATCTTTTTTTTTTTTTTTTTCAAAAGAGGCGCTTGGAGCTGGGTTTGGCCGTGCAGGCCTTATAATCTCAGTACTTTGGAGGTAGAAGCAGGTAGATCTCTGTGAGTTCAATGAGACCCCGTCTCCAAAAGAAAAAAAATCAATCAATTAATTAATTAAAACAAAAGAGATGCTTGGACTTAACACCCTTTCTCATAAAAACTTGTTTGTTGCTCGCTTGGACCCCCCAGTGGGCGGCGCTAGTGAGAGATGGAGGAGGAAGTTAGATCAATCAGAGTGTACCCTTGAAGGGGATATTGGGACCCCCTTCCTTGTTTGGGGGCTGCAGAATAGTGCTCCCCACTATGACGCCCTTCCTCTTCACAGGCCCAAACTTATAGGGCCAACTGGCGATGAACTGGAATAGAACCCCAAATCTTTCATTTTACGTTCCTTAACTGAAAGATGGTTAACACAGTAGCCATCCGTTGGGTCCAATGGCTTGGGCCTCCTTTTGGAATAGTGGTCCCTCTGTTCTTACAATAAACTGGAATTTTTAACCCTGAGACCTTTGAGCATCCAGCTAAACAGACAACAAGCGAATCCCAAGACAAACACGCCCTACCACCAACGCTCCAGCCACAAGGAGCGTGGGGCCTCTCTGGGGCAGCAAGGCGTAGGAAACAGAGGGGGTCAGTCTGACAATTGGGACTAGTCTCTTTGGGGCTATTGTCCCCCATGGATGGTCCCCCCAAACACACATGAGCCATCCTTTCTCCACCAAGAAAGTCTTCCCTTCCTGTGTTCCCCTCTCCTAGTCCAGTATCGAGGGCCAGGTCAAAGTTATATAAACCCTGAAAGCTAGCTGACCCCCACCACCCACTCCCACTTTGTCCTGCACTTAACTGCGTGCTAGCCTGCCATGTTCCGGCTCCCGCACCCCTGAAGCTGTGGGACAGTAGGGTTGAAACGTGATTAAGTTCGTGGTTGACTGAGTCCCTGATCTTTACAATGTATCTGGGGGCGAAGGGTGGCTTTGCCCCTGGTTGGTGCAGACGTCCCAGAGCCAGCATGAATGGAGGCACAGGTGGGAATTCGCGTTTAATGAGTGTTTGGTTGACTATGGAGAGAGCGCTTTTCTTGGGTCAGGCCCTGTAGGGTGACTGGCCCTGTTCAGGAGTAGTCTTGGAGCAACCCCTGGCGCAGGTGACTAGATGCTGGGCGACTCCGCTCCGCCGCCTACAGCCTAGACGCAGCTACTGCGCAGGGGACTCGGGCGGCGACCCTGGGCACGAGCACCGCGGGGAGGTGTCTGAAGCCGGGCGCTTCCTGCCTGGCCCTTGGCCCAGGGTGGTGACTGGCTGTCGCGATCGGGGCGCGGGTCCCCGCCCCCGGCTCCCAGTCCCCACCCCTGCGCCCTCGGGGGCGCCCCATCGCGGGAGGGTGGTCCGCCGCGCCCGGGTCGCCTAGGGGCGGAGAGGTGGCGGGAACC